GAGTCTTGCCAATCCCAGATCGGCCAGGTTTTCCTGTTTTTCCGTTTCAACGAAAGTGGGTATGCTGAACCCTGTGAGTGTTGAGGGGGCTGCAGGATGCCAGGTATTTTATCTCTGCATTCCCCGCCCCATGCTGGCCCTAGAATGGCTACAGGTGTGAAGAATGGGTGTTTTTGGACTATCAGGTCGACCTGGGATTAACTGCAAGTATCCAAGTCAAGTGGGTGTGTCCTGTAAAGATGGAAATAATCAAGATTCTTTGCAGGAGTGGCTGGCAGCAAACCCCAATGTCCGTCTACACATACTTCTTCGTGCCTCTTTCAGGTTCCTACCCATGACATCACAATAAATCGACACAAGACCTTAATGGGAAGTTCGGCTGCTCTGCACGTCAGTGCTGATGAGGACCAAAAGCATCACACGGGCCACGCGAGGTTTCAGTTGTCTAGATAAGTGATGATGGGTGTCAGGCCTCCCTGTTGTTCCCATGATTTCAACTTCAGGTGTCCCGGTTGGGGTTTGATAAGGGTACCTGACACCCAAGAAACTGTGAGTTTTTTCCTTGCGTATTTTCAGAAGACAGTGCCTAAACCATGTGGAGCCACGGCGGGACTGCAAATACCAGGTAATGATCCAGCGTTCCCAGCCACAGCAGGACTGTGGACATTTTCAGGTGTTCTGTAGAGAGAAATGCTATCCTTCTGGAGCCACGGCCCTGAGCCGGATGGGCCCCCACCAGCATCCTGGTAAGAGTGGTGAATGATGGATGTGAGCATCATGATTTGCAGGTGTCCTGGTACGGCATCTTTGTGTTTCTGAGGCCCATATGTCTGTATATGTTTTTTCAGGTTCCCTGGAGGAAATCCTGACAAAAAGGAATCACCATCAGGGGACATGTCTGCTGTCTGGTTTAGTTGATGGTGTTCGCAGTAAAACTCACCACAGGACCAGGCGATCTCCACCTAATGTCTAGGTAAGTGAGGTTCCTTTGCCTAAACGTTTACATGTGGATGGGCCTTAATGGCCGTTATGGAAAGGAAGAGTAGTGATCCCCGCGTTCCTCTTCACCATGGTACCTTAATTGATAACCTGTTCCTAGAGAAGAATTGTAAGTATGTTGCTGTGTGAGTGCGGATTGATTGGCAGCTACCACAGGGAACCCACGTGGCACTGTGCATCACAGGAGTTTCTTCGGTGGAGTTGACAGGGAAGCCAACCAGGGAAAGTGGGCGTGTCCACAATGGCCTAGACCTTGTGCAGCGGCCTAGATTTTTGGCTCTTACAGTGATGATAGTGAGCAGGTGGCTTGCAGGGTTCTGGTATTAAAAGCAGTGTCCATAGACACATTGGTCACATATGTGATTTCAGATTCAGGCAGGCAGAAGTCAGAGCATGAGGACAGCCTTGAGGTCTCTCCACGAGATTCACGGATTATTGTATTTCGTAGGAATTGAGGTATGAGATGATCATGGCTCTTATCATTGCAGTGACTATGGTATTTTCAAGGAATCCAAGAAACAGATGATGGACATGTTCATAACCATGATAGTGCCCATGGGATTTTGTAGCTATAGAATGAAAAGATGACAGTGGCCATATCCATGGTAATGTCTGTGGGATTTTATAAATATCCAGGTAAGAAATAAGTGTTTCTACTTAAGAAGTGAACATGGGATACTGAAGTTATAAAGGTAAGAAATGGTAAACCTGATTGTGTGGGTGACCATGGTATTTTCTACACATCCAGATAAGGCTGGATGGTGACCCTAATTCGAGTATCAAAATTGGATTTTGTGAGGTAGGCACCTAGGAGCTGATGATGTCCCTTCCTATGTGAGTGAACATGGCATTTTGTGGTATTCTGGATGTGGTGGCGAACCTAACCCCAAAATGACCATGAGGTTTGTCAGGGTCCTAGTAAAGAGAAGATGGTCCCCTTAACCATGAAAGTTATGATGTCATTTTGTCAGTCAGTAATTAAGAGATGATGGTGACCCTGCCACTCCAGTGAATAAGGAATTTTGCAAGTCACCAGGTAAGAGATGATGGTGTCTCTAAAAATGTGGTGACTGTCGGATTTTGAGGATATCCAATCAAGGAATAATGTGTTACTAGAAATGATAGTACCAAGGTACTCAGCAGTTAGCCACGAAAGAAATGATGTGTCCCTAGCGATGGCATTTAATCTGAGTAATTTGTAGGTCCCCATGTATGGTAGGTTTTTCCAAATCTGGTAGAACACATGGCCTTCTGTAGGTATCCACATGAGAGATGACATGTCACAAAGTGTAAGTACTGCCACTACTGTAGCCAGGGTATTTTATAAGTATCCAACTAAGAGGTCTGGCTTTATCTATGTGTTGCATGTTAGACTATCATGTTGTCTATTTTTTTCTTTTTTTTGAGATAGTGTCTGGCTGAGGTAAGTGCTGATGCAGGCCTAAACCACAACCCTCACCGTGGGACTGTCACAGAGACCCAGTTCAGTAGTGGTGTGTCCCTACACATCTTCCCACTGTGATTTCTTTCACAGGTACTCAGGTGACAAGTGACTGAGTCCTTACCATTCCCAGATAGGCCAGGTTTTCCCATTTTCTGTTTCAACAAAAGTGTATGCTGAAATCCGTGAGTGTTGAGGGATTGCAGGGAGCCAGGTGTTTATCACTGTATTCCCTGCCCCCGTGCTGCCCCTAGGATGTCTACAGGTGTGCAGTCGGGAAACGGTGGTTTTCTGCTATCACGGTCGACCTGAGATTACTACAAGTATCCAGGTCAAGTGGGTATGTCCCGAAAAGATGGAAATCATCAAGGTTCTTTGTAGGAGTGCTGTGGAAAACCCTGTGTCCTTCTACACATGTGTCTTCTACACATCTGATTTTGCAAGCTGCCAGAGAAGATACGATGGTGTCTCTAAAAATGTGGTGACCACGAGTTTTTGCAGATAACCAATTAAGTTATTTGCAAAACTAGAAATGGTAGTCCCAAGGCATTTTACAGTTACCCAGGAAATAAATGATGTGTCCTTAGTAAAGGCATTTAATTTGGGTAATTTGTAGGTCTCCATGTCTGGTAGGTATTTCTATATCTGGTCAATCTCATAGTATTCTGTAGGTATCCACATGAGAGATGATGTGTCACAAGTTGTAACCAAGTGCCAAGGTATTTTACAAGTATCTCACTTAAAGCTCCGGTGAATATAAGTTTTTGAAGATACCCAGTGGGGAATGATGTTGGCCTAAGCCGTGGTAATGCCCACTGGTAGTGCCCATATCTTAGTAATAGGTGGTGTGTGTCTGATTATGGTTGTCCCTATGGCTTTTTTTTTTTTTTTTTTTTTTGCAAATTCCAGCAATATAATGAAGACAATCTTAACCATTCTTATGAACAGAAGATTTAGCAGGAATTGAGGAAAGAAATAATGTGGGCTTTAACCAAATGGACGTGATTAGATTTTAGGGATTTCTAAATAAGTGATCATGGTGTCCCTAACCATGGGATTTTGCAGGTTGTAGTCAACAGGTGATGATGAATTTAACAGTAGGCGCAAACATGGGAATTATTGATACCTAGATAAGACATGATGTGGTCCTTAAACATATTACAGACCATATTATTTTTTAGATATCTACATAAACAATATGTCCTGAAATCTTGATGTAACTATTTTTTTTTTTCACATTTAAAAAGTTGCTCATTCTCAAATATTTGTGTAGGGCTGATTTCAGGGTATAGGAATGCACCAGCAGCCGGCCCGATGGCTCACGCCTTAATCCCTGTACTTTGGGAGGCCGAGGCGGACAGATCACTTGAGGTCAGGAGTTCGAGACCAGCCTGGCCAACGTAGTGAAACGCCGTCTCTATTAAAAATACACAACTTAGCCAGGCGTCCTGGCACATGCCCATAGTCCCAGCTACATGAGAGGCTGAGGCACGAGAATTGCTAGAACCCAGAAGGCAGATGTTGCAGTGAGCCAAGGTTGGGCCACTGCAGTCCAGACTGGGCGACAGAGCAGTTCTTTACCCCCCGCCCCCCATCCCCCCCACAAAAAGTAAGGCACCAGAGTCATGAAATCATGATCTTACCACAGAGGGCGTAAAAAACGAAACCTCGGAAAATATTACCATATTTCAAAAGACTTGTGGAAAATAATTAAGGACCAGGTAGCAGAAATTGTGATCAGAAGAAATAACATAAGAATATACTTAAGTGCACAGTACATAGTTGGAAGGCAAACTGTTTATCCTTCTAAAACCATTACTATGATCAACACAAACAAGAGACACTTTCCTGAAAGGTTAAATTGGTTCATGAGAAATAAAAGCAACCAAAAGGAGCCACATTATCTACAATAGAAGAGACCATATGGAAAACGTTGTATGGCAAGAGCTAATTAGTTAGTATACAAAAAGATTCACGAAAAATGCCTCAACTTTGGACACGTTAGATATTGCACACTAAAAAAAAAAAACAAAACAAAAAAAAACAAAGGAACATTTTGAAAGCTATTTTAAATTTAATTAATTGCTGAATGTCTCCTTGGCTACTAGTTGAACAATCATTATTTAGTCCCACATCTCTCTCACCATTTTGTTTGCAGACCATCTAAAAGCCTTATTTCCTCATCTATTTGACAGATGACCAAAATGGATCCTACAGTATGATCACACAGGTTAATCTTGGAAAGTATGACTAAATTATTTTTAAAGGCATTATTTTTCTCCTTTGATTTTCAGATTCTTTCTCATAATTTCTAAAACAGTGTCGACAACGGCCTGTACCACGTCTTCATTGATGTCATCACTGAGATCACTCTCAATTGCTCTCGAACTTGTTGTTGGCCTTTCGTGTAGATATGAACTGTGACCTGGCGGATCTGACTGTTGTTGCTGCTGCTTCTGTTCCTGCTGATGCTTTTCAAAATAGTCTTTTATTTTCTTTGGCTCTTCCGAAGCAGGAGTTCCACATGATGTCTTTGGAAGATCTTGCGATGTGTTTCTGGAACTACCTTGCATGCTTAGCTCAATAGCCCTGCGGAGATCTTCATCTTCTTTATTGGTTTCTTGGCGGCTTAGTTCCAGGGCCCTCTGAAAATCCTGCTCTTCTTGGTCTGATGTTCCAGACTCATCACTTTCTTCTGACACTTTTTCAAGAATTGTTTTATAGACTTTATGGTCTTTTTCTTTGGCTAATTTTTTTCCGTTAAGTTTTGGTCTATCCATCTCTTCAACACTGATGATTTGCAGCAGTTGGTCAGCTTCACAGTCTGGCAGATCCCCCTTCACAACAAATACAGAATATGCTTCCTGTTGCAGTTGAGTCAAGAAATTTGCAAGGCATATGTCTGATATTAATTCTGGACCCGCCAAGAGAGAATTCAAGTTAAACCAGTGTTTTCCGAATTTTCTAATAGTAAACCAGTGTTGTTTATAATTACATATAAAAGATTTTTCATTTATAGGATCAATCCCGAGCTTCTGATATTCAGGATTATTGAAATGGATGACCTCTAAACCCCAGAACTTCAAGGCATTGCATATTACCTGGATGGAGAAGAAGCCGCTATCATCCATGTTTTCTGAAGGCTGCTGTAAAAATGCACGATATTCTTCACTAGTGACTCCTCCTTCTGCCATTCTCATCCTCTCTTCTTCATCTAGCTGATGTGCAATTGAAGCTAATTCCACAGGGCTAAAATATTCTCCTTGCAGCAGATTATTCAGGCAGTGCTGAGCACAAAGGAAGCCTTCTTGTTTTTCATGAAAGATGAAATCCATGTTGATTCTAACCGTGAGTTTTTGTATATATGCGGGAACATGTTATATGCCCAGCTATGGCAGTTATCTGGGCAGTTTGTAGAGAGCCATGAAATAGGTGTTAGGTTTTCAAATCTTATGAAGACCATGGGTTTCTGTAGGTATTTAAGTAAGAGATGATATGTCACAAAGCACTATTGTGACCAAGGTGGTTTTGCCAGTATCTAGTCAAGACCTGATGGTAAACCTAAAGTGAATATGGGGTTTTGGAGTCATCCCATAGAGGATAATGGTGACTTGAACCATGGCAGTGCCCACTGATTTTCAGATGTCCTATAAAATATAATGTCTCTTTAATTATGGTTGTCAGCATGGTTTTAGTAAGTGAATAAAGGTGAAATTTACCACAGTACTAAACAGAAGATTTGGCAGGTAACTGGGAAAGAAATAACATGGGCTTTAACCAAACGGGCATCATGGGATTTTGGAAGTCTCTGGGTAAGTTATGATGTCACTGACCACAGTAATAGCCATGGAATTTTGAAGGTTCCACTCAATAGATGACAATAAAACTCACGGTAGCAATGAAGAAATGAAGATGGGACTTTGCTGGTATCCTAGTTAGAGATGATGTGGGCCTTAAAAACATTAGTGACCAAATGATCTTCAGACATCTAGAAAACTGATGAAGATGTCCTGAACTCTTTTCATATCCATGTGTTTTTATAGGTGTTCAGATAAGAAATGTGTGTGCCCAACAAAAGTAGTAACTATTAGATTTTACTGTTTTCTAGTTCAGAGACAATCTCTCTCAAACTTAGTAGTGACAAAGATATAGCAGACATCCAGGTAGGATATCACAGAGTTCCTTACCACAGTAGTAACTATAGGATTTTTGCAGGTGTCCAGTGAATAGACAGTGTGTGAAACTACTGTGTTGACCTTGGACTTCTCTAAGTGTCCAAGTACACTTAGTGATGCCCTAATGATCGTAGTGAGTGTATGCACGGAATGAGCAGGGGGCCAGATGGAAGGACATGCATCCTGACCAGGGTTACCACCATATGTTTTCTCAGCAGGTAGTCAAGAGATAATGGTGTCTCTAACTACAGCATTGGCCTCAGAACCTTAGGATTCAGGTAGAGTTCATGGTTCCCCTAACAATACTAGTCACCGTGGGATTTTTTGAGGTCCATGTAGAAGATGTATCCCTAACCACCACTGCTGCCATATGGTTTTGCAGGCTCCTATCAAGAGATAATGGTGAAACTCATATTGGTCATTTTTGTAGGCATTCATGGAATCTAGCTAAGTGATTATGTGGACCTTAAACATAGTACAGACCATCTGCTCTTCAGACATCTCGGATAAGCGTGATGATGATGTTCCTCAACCGTGTTTGGTATCGTGTGTTTTGCGGTATTCGGGTAAAAAAAAAAAAGATACTGGCTCTACAAATAAGTATTGGAATCCATGAGACTTAGCGTAACCAGTTTCTGGTTTAGAGATATTGTGTGTTAACCTTAGGAGTGAATGAAGAATTTTCAGGTATCTGGCAATGATCATAACTTTCGTCAAAACAGTAATGACCATGAGATTTTTATCGATGCCCAGACAATAAATGATGGTGCCTGTACCCAATGTGTTGATCTTCAGGTTCTGCCATTATCCAGGTAGCATTAATGAGTTTGTAAAGATGGAAGTCGACAAAGTTAATTTGCAGATGTTCTGCTAGAAAAGTTGCATTTAAACACATCTGGAGCCAATGTGTTTTTTTCAGGTTTCAATCTAAAGATCAAGGTAACCCTAACAATGGGATTAACATGAAGCTTTGCTGGTATCCAGGCAACTGATGATGTCGGTCCTATCACACAGAAGACATTCAGACCTTCAGAAATTTACGTAAGTGATGATGATACCTCTAACATTTGTGTTACCTTGTTTTTTGGGGTTTTGCAGATATTCAGGTAAGAAACTATAATGTTCCCATCATTCCCATTTAAGAATACACCCTTACTGCTTACTAGTTCAGAGATAATGTTTTGAAATCTGGCTAAGACTGAGGGATTTGTAAGTTTCCAAGTCAATTTTCATAGTGTTTCTCATCTCAGTATTGACCATGGTATTTTACAGGTACCTAGTCAAGTGATTATGACATATCCATGGTTTTGACCTTGATATTCTGCAAGTATCAAGGTAAAGTTGATGGTTCTCCTACTGCTAGTGATTCTCACGAGATGTTGCATGGTCTAGGTGGGAAAAGGCATATCTCTAACCATGGCTGCCTTCATGGATGATGCTGAAACTAACAATGATAGTGAACATGGACTTAGCTAAAAGAGAGGGAAAGGATGGTGTGAACCTTTACACATTAGAGAGCTTCAGATTTCAGTTATCTAGGTAAGGGTTGATGGTGCCTGTAATACTGTGGTTACAAGAATGTTGTTTTTATAAGCAGGCATTCAGGTAAGGGCAGTGCTAATATAAAGGTGAGAAGTGATGTGGCATTTATACACTAGAGACCCGAATTTCAGGTATCTAGGAAACTGATGGTGATCATACCTGTAATAGTTACCTGGTTTGGTACAGGTTTGCAGGGAAGAAATGAACTGGCTCCACTAGTAAGAGTAAGCATGCGATTTTTTGTATTCTCGTTTAGTGCTAATTTGTACTTAACCCTAGTAGCAGTCGAGAAACCTGCAGGTATCCAGGTAAGATATCACACTATCACCCCACTAGTGACCATGGGATTTTGGCATATATTTCTTCAAAGGAGAGAGGTGTCTTTATTAGGGTTTAACTTCACACCTTTGGAACTATCCAGGTAGCATTGATGAGTCACAAAAAGAAGTGATCAAGGGTATTTGCAGGTGTCCAGGTAGTATAAGAGGTGTATTAAACACATTTTTCACAATACGCTTTTCAGGCTCCTTTCATAAGATTATAGTGAGCTTAACAATGGCCTTTAATGGTGGACAGGTATAATCAGATGTATATCAAATATAACATTTTTCATAATGTGTTTTTCAGGATTCTGTCAGAAGATTACGGTGAGCCCAATAATGGTAGTTGATGTGGGACACTGCTGGAATATAGGTAACTGATGTGGTAAGTTTAAGTCCCAGCATGTCTACTTGATTTTCTTGTATCTAGGTAAGTGATTAATGATGTCCCAATACTCATTACTGTGTTTGTTTCTTTTTTCTTTATGTATTCAGTGATGAAAAGTTCTTACTAGTAATAGAATCCATGAGTTCTTTCTTTTCACATTTTAGGGAAAATTTGTATAACTTTGTGAGTATTGAGGGATTGTCACAGTAATTCTCATTGTGTTTCCCACTACATTCATAATCATGGAATCTTTGCAGTTATCCAGTCAAGAGATTATGATCTTTTCTAAAATGGTGTTTACCTTGGTGTACTACAAATATTCAAGTAGAGTTGATGCATCCAGTAATATTGGAAGTAACTAAGGTTAGTTGACAGCATCGTCATAGAAAATAAATTGTGTCCTTTAACATGTATTTTCTAAAGTTTTTTTCAGGTTCCTGTCAAGAGAGCATGGGAAACCTAAAGATGGTGGTTAACATGGGACATTGCTGGTGTCCAGGTAAGTGATGATGTGAGCCATAGTGGTGGTGTTGGCCTGAAGGGGTGGCCTACCCCTCCACACCTTTGGTCGTTTCTCTTTAGGTGGAAGGAGAGACTTGAGAAAAGAAATGAGACACAGAGACAAAGTATAGAGAAAGAAAAAAGTGGGCCCAGGGGACCGGCGCTCAGCATACAGAGGACCCATGCCAGCACCGGTCTCTTGAGTTCCCTTAGTATTTATTGATAATTATCTTTACCGTCTTAAAGATAAGGGAGTGGCAGGACAATAGGATCATTGAAGGGAGAAAATTAGCAGTAAGACATATGGATAAAGATCTCTGTGACATGAATAATTTCAAAGCAAAACGCTGTGCCTTGATATGCATATGCAGACATCTCCATAAACCTCTTGGCAGCATTGTGCCAGCAAGTCCCGCCAGCAAGTCCCACCTTATGCCGTAAGGCGGTTTTTTCCTATCTCAGTGAACAGAGCATACAATCGGGTTTTTACACCGAGATGTTCCATTGCCCAGGGACTGGCAGGATTTTTAACCAGCAAGCTGCCTTCAGGCACTTGTTTAACAAAGACACATCCTGCACAGCCCAAAATCCATTAAACCTTGAGTCACCACAGCACATGTCTCTTGCAAGGATAAGGTTGGGGGTAGGGTCACAGATTAACAGCATCTCAAATACAGAACCAAATGGAGTCTCTTATGTCTACTTCTTTCTATATAGACACAGTAACAGGCTAATCTCTCTTTCTTTTCCCCACATTGGCCTCTATTTACTGTTGTCAGTTTTTGGATTTTTTAAAGTATTCAGGTACGAAATAATCTCCTTACTATTACTATTAACTATGTTAAGTTTGTTTTATATATTAATGTAAACTTATGTTTAGCCTAGTGAGTGTTGGATTTGCAGGTATCTACGTAATTCTTATGATGTCTTGCTTCTCAGATATAACCCCGGAACTTCTGGAAGTGTGCAGCGAACAGAATGTGTTTTCACTAACAGTAGTGCAGACCATAGAATGCTACAAGTAATCAGAGTTGTTGAGTCCTGCCATGGAGGAAGCCACCAACTTTACCATAGACGTTTAGGTGCAAAAAATTGTGTGCATAGGAACATTTGTAACAATTTGTTCTTCAGGTTTCAGTCCAAAGAACATGATGAATCTCAAAATGGTCATTCACAGGGATTCACCTGGTGCCCAGGTAAGTGCTGATATGAGCCTAAACCACAGCACAGGCCATCTGATCTTAGGCCATCTGATCTTCATGTATATAGGTGATGATGGTGTCACATTTTTTTGACTATGTGTTTATCACAACTATTCTGCTAAGCACGAGATAGCCCTTAACAATCGGAGGAACCATGAATTTTCACTTTTTTCTTCTGTAGCGAATGTATGCTCAACCCTTTTAGTG